AGGAGACGAACTGCCGATATCTCTCAAGGGTACACTTGGAGCAATCCAACTCACTTCCCGGGTGGATGAACGTCCCCACTAATCCGGCGGGAAACCTAGATTCTGGCGGGAAGTGCATTTAATGCTAAAGATTTGGTAGTTGGGACACCAGCGGTCCACAGGCTGCCACGTCACTACAGCCACCTGCCCATTGGCGGGTATAAATAGAAGCATTTATTTCATTGTAAGGGGTTGGCAACTTTCTATTCTTAGCACCCTAGCTATAGCATTCTATTCGCAGCACTTCTACTGCCTTGTAAGACGAACGGCCGACGGAGCCTTAGCAAAAAGTATTGTATTAGGGAGTTATTAAGAGATAATAATACCTAATCATTTACTTGCTACTTATTTGTTTCTTGATCCTTATCATCTGTCTGTTGGGCTAGTTATTCATACGCACTCCACTCGAAATCTTTGGGCTTACGTGTTGGGCCTGAAGGTTGAAGGAATAAACCTCAACAACTAGATTTCAGCATTTTTCGTAGCTACTGCAAAGGGTACCCCGTCAGGTATCCTAGATACCTGGTCGGGTATCAGACCCAACCACATCATTTATCTATAAAAACACCACTTTCCTTCCCATTTTACAGACACATCAGCCCCCCTTTCATCTGGAGTTTATCCTTGTAATTTTAGTAGTCTTTAGAGCTTCGTTTTGCTATATTGAAGCTTGTGAATTGCAAGTTGAGAGTTATATCTTTAAGCCTCCTCTCTTGAATATTAATTACTTCCCTACCTATTCACATTCCATATTGATATTTGAGCATCACTAAGTGATCAATTAGTTGATGTGTGTTCATATTGATTATTACGAGAATCGATCAATGAATACGCTTGTTATTCACTTGGTTCTTTCACAAGTAATAATCTTAGATTATTAATGCATGTGTCTCATGATTAATAATTTAAGAGGGAGTAATTATATTGATTAAACCAAAAAACCGCTTGCGTTGAAGTTATCAATCTTAATTGATTTCATCATGAAACAAATGGATTAATTAGATAGAATAGTTGGACCTGAGATTCTCGTTGTGACAGTCAAGAATACTCACCTCGGGTTACAAGTTATCGTCCTTAATTTATTTCATTAAATCGATTGGATGCTTCTAAAAGGATCAATATATGACACTTGTTCTATATTGGCTAATTAATAGTGACTTACAAAAATTAAGTCATATGCAATGGGATGGCCTTCCTGTTGTAATACTGTCCCAAAACCACATCCCGATGCATCATATTCCACGACAAATTCTTTTTCAAAATTAGGTAATTGGAGAACTCGGGCCGAGGAGAGGCGCATTTTGAGGTCGTTGAATGGCGCCAGTTCAGGCGCGTCAGTCCAGGTAAAAGCACTCTTCTTTAGCAATTGTGTGACTGGTTCGGCAATCTCACCATACAGGTGAATAAATTTTATGTAATAACCGGCTAGCCCCAAAAAAGCGTATAATGTTGTTACTGATCGTGGTGTGGGCCACTAAGTGATTGCCTGGGTTTTAGCAATCAAACTGGTCAATGAGTCTCTCCATGTTGGTAGATGGGGTGGGGAGCATGTGGGCATGAAGAGTAGGTTTGCTCGCATGACCATGTCATTTCACCAGAGTGTCCTCCAATTTAAAAGACGACAAAATCCCATTCAATTGACCCCAGGCCAAACCTGTCCAGATGAAGCACATAAAAGTCACCAGTAAAGTTGTGGCCTTCCACACAGAAAGCAAGGCGAGGACAGGTGCCTAAAAAGGTACCCGATATCCATTAGCCACAAGAACATGAAGATGAGATCGCCGGTGAAGTGATTGGGATCATATGGAGTGCTTTCTTTTCGGTGGCTGGTGAAACCAAAACAAATTCTACGCTTGGCTCCTTACCGGTGGCTGGACAAACTGGGATGTTCAATAATTTATTCAAGAAATATTGTTATCATAGCATGAACAGTCAATCTTAAGGTAAAGTCTACTTCTTTGCTGGATTTGAATCATCTGTATCTATGTCTCATCTCATTGTAGTCCTGGGCTATATGATTGTAATTGTCCAACCAAGCATTCCAGTCCAGCTGGTTGTAAGGTTATCGTGCCTAGTGAGAGGTCTTGAGTTCAAAACCCGTTAGGCACATAAGGGTTCGAAACTCAATGGAGTGAGTTTAAACTCTGATTACTCTAGGCCCCACAGCCCCCCTCCCCAGACCCCCTGGAGTAAAAAAAAGAGTATATGATTGTAATTGTCCTTGTTATCTTTATCAATAATAATCAAGTTATTTCTTTTCAAAAAAAAAAATTCTTGCTTGATTCTTTCCCTTAGCACTTTGTTCATTAATTACACCTGTTCCACACCGACTTCTTCGTTTATATGTGCGGCCATATAATTGTCGATAACATAATATTATTTACATTTTTATATTTGTTACATCATCATATTAATATTAGTTACATTTTAATATTTGTTACATCATCATACTAATATTAGTCACATTGTAATACGAAGTATTAGTTACATAGTAAATTTTAATATTTGAGACAATTTAATATTAATCATATTTTAATGATAGTAACAATTTAATATTAGTCACATTTTTATATTTGTTACATTTTAACATGTCGGGCACTAGAAATATTGTTGATTTAAGTAATCTCCTACTATACGCACCCGTAAGGAGATTTTGCAATCTCATTTTTCTTGGCGGTCTCATGGTAAACGGCATGTTGAGGCAACATCTTCGTCCCCGAGCCGTGATGCTTGGGAGGTCAATTGTAACGATAGGATTGCATGATCGACAAACAAATGGCGTAACTCTTGTCTCAAAACCAATATCGATTTTTGCAACAAGAAAGCCTTTCCGAGATTGACGAAGATATTGAGGGTGATGCCGCCGAGGAGCCCACGGTGGAGGAGGAACAAGGCAGGGATACCGCGGTGGGTCGGTTCTGAGCCTCCATTCTTTAGGGCCAGGACCGGACCGGTACCGGGTCCATGCCTATAACTAGGCAATGATGAGTCGTATCATCTCCCGCTTTAATGAACTCTATGGACATGTTTACTTTACGGGTTACTAAACGGTGCTTATTAAGACTCGCATTAATAAGCGGCGCATAAAATAAGCAATGTTGTAAGATCGTGTTTACTTCAAAAGGTTTAAAACACCGTTTAACATTAAAATGTCCAAAATAACCATATACATATATAGACACACAAACATTCATGAACACAAATATATAATATAATACGTGTACTCATACCCCCTAACCCCTAACCCCCACCCTGCCTTACCCCGACCCCACCTGCCGAGCATACATAGGTCCCAACTCCTACCCCCTACCACATCAGCCCCACCCCGACCCCACCCTACCTACCATACTCCTGCCCTACCTTACCCCTACCCCACCTACCCAGCATACCTAGGTCACAACCCCTACCCCCACCACATCGGCCCCACCCTACCTACCATACTCCTGCCCTACCTTACCCCACCCCCATCCCTTACCATCCGCCCCCTGACCCCCACCCTACCCTAGGTCATTACCCTACCATGCTGCCCCCACCCCGGCCCCACCCGATCATACCCTACACTACCTTACCCAAAACCGATCATACCCTTACTCTACCTTACCCAAACCTTGGCCCCACCCGATCATACCCTACCTTACCCAAACCTCAACCCCACCTGCTTACCCCCACCCCTACCCTTACCGTACCATACCTTACCTTGACCCCAGCCCCTACCTTACCCCCTTACCTCAACCCCGAACCCACCCTACCCACAATCCCCACCCTTACCCCTAACCACAACCCAACCCACTCCCTACACCACTTTCCCATACCTCGACCCCACCCTGATCCCAACCCCACCCCACTCCACCCGCTACAACAATGCCCTACCTCGGCTCCACCCAGATCCCGGCCCACCCTACCGACATCCTACCCCACGTTGGGTGGGGTAGGAGGTGGAATCGATGTGGTAAGGGGTAGGGTAGTAAGGGTTAGGGATAGGGTGGGGTTGGGGCCAATGTGGTAGGGGGTAGGTAGGGTGGGGTCGGGGTAAAGGTGGGGTCGAGGTGAGGGTCGATGTGGTAGGATTGGGGTATGGTGAGGGCCTAGAGGTTTTTGGGTAGGGTAAGGGGTGGTAAGAGCCTAGGGGTGAGGTCTGGGTAGGTCGGGGTAAGGTAGGGTAGGGGTAGGATAAGGTGGGGCCGATGTGGTAGGGGGTAGGGGTTTGGGATGGGTGGGGGTGGGGTAGGTAAGGTAGGGTTGGGGTAAGGTAGGGGCGTAAGGTAGGGTAGGGGCAGGGAGTAGGGGTGGGGTCGGGGTGGGGTTGATGTGGTGGGGGTTGGGGGTAAGGTGGTAAAGGGGCCTAGGTTGGGGTGGGGTTGGGGTCGGGGTATGGTAGGGTGGGGCAAATGTGGTAGGGGGTGCAGTCGGGGTGGGGCCGATGTGTTAGGGTTGGGGTAGGTGGTAAGGGCCTAGGGGTTTGGGGTTGGGGTAGGGTGGTAAGGGGCCAGGTGGGTCGGGTAGGTTAGGGTAGGGGTCGGGGTAAGGTAGGGTAGGGGTTAGGATAGGATTGGGTGGGGTTGATGTGGTACGAGGTAGGCCCCCGGGTGGGTTCGAGGTGGGGTTGATGTGGTAGGGTTGGGGTAGGTGGTAAGGTCTTAGGGGTTTGGGGTGAGGTAGGGGTGGTAATGGGGCCAGGTGGGGTGGGGTAAGGTAGGGTAGGGTAGGGGTAGGATAGGGGTTGGGTGGGTAGTAGGGGCTGGGTGGGGTAGGCGGTAACAATAGGGTAAGAGCAAGGGGTAAATTCAGAAACTGAAAAAGCTTAAAGTGTCACTTAATTAATACATGGGGGTGGTATGCTTATTAAGCGGCACTTTAAGCACCTCTTTCGGTTAGTTAAGTGGTCTTACTAACTTAACAGTGACTTTAGCAGCGAAGTAAACACCTCCTATGTTCCTTTTTTATTCTTACTATCCATATGGCTTCCAGTGAATTAATAGAAGACTAAGCTAGGTAAATAGATCAAAGTTCATGAACAAATCTAACTAATAAAAAAGTTTGGAACTTAACTGGGTATTGTCACAAACTCACAATAGTCAAGATCCATTTCAGGTATTAGCCGTCATTTCAAATATCAATATCTCTATAGTTAGAATAGATTTTTCAGTGCCTTGTATTCTTCAGTGATGTTTCTTCATTTTGTTGGGCTTGAGGTCTGAACTCAGGTGGAGTGGGGAGATGGGGCCTCAACCCATACTTACACGGTTCATTTACTCCAAGAAAACTTGAATCCTGTCTCCCATGGTATCCTTGAAATCTAGCAACTGCTTCCCTCCATCATCAAAGCTTGTATTGTCCAAAAGCTCTTTCAGGTTCACCCCCACCAGTGCTGCATATACAAAAGAATACCCCAAATATATAAGAAAATGAACAATGATAGAACTGGTGATGTGAATGGGACGTCCAGAGAATACCTGGCACTATGTTTGTGATTCCTTCCAAAAATCCAGCCTTAAAAAACGAGGGGAGAAAGGTTAGATGATAAGTATTGTTAAGTCATCTCACGCATATAACAATACAAACTAAAATAATGGCTGACATTTGGGCTACTCCATCTATCAAATTGACATTTGGATGAAACTTAAATCTTATAATGCTATCAAGGTCAATGAGACTCCAACGAGCAATGTGGCACAGCCTTCACTATAATTGTGGCAAGTGCGTGTCATTATATGTCAATGTACACTTTTTACAACGTTGGTAGTAAGTGGTGAGACACATTGTCAATGATGGGTGTGAACTGGATGGCGTCCCCAAGCCTTCGAGATGGATACAAATAGATGCTCAAAGGGTCAAAGCAAGGGTTGAGCTACATTCAGGGGCATTTGTTAATAACTTGTGCTATTTTACTATTAAAACGAAGACTTGTTTTGTTCGTAGGTAGTATTAGTCAACTTGCAACTAGAAGTATTAACAACTTGGAAAAGCATTGTATTTATGATTTAAACAAGGTCTACTATAGTTCTATTGTTTTCTTTTTCTTGTATAGAGGCAATAGCCAAAAGAAGTATGACTTACAGGAATTCTTATATCCAGTTTGTCAAACCCATCTCTTCCTGAAATTTTAACCCTCAACTTTCGAGACCACATCCTCGAGAAAGATCCTCTTGTACTATCTCCATTATTATAGGAATGAGATACCTCAGGAGTTAATACTTCAACCACCTCATCTTGCAGTCTCTGACTTATCACTTCTGTGTCATCATAGAAATTGTGTGAAGTGCCATAGTCACAGTTGTCTTATGATATCTAAAACTTAGTTCTATACTTGATGCAGATAGATAAATTGAAACTGCAAGCTCTTTTTATTTGAATAAAAAAACTCGTGTTTTTTCCCACACTAAAATAGATTAATGTGACAACAAGGCGGAGCGACAACAACAGTAATAATAATAATAATAATAATAATAATAATAATAATAATAATAATAATAATATTAAGAGAAGAAGATATGCGGAAAATGAGCAATGCAGAGGTTGTAGATGCAAAAAACACTAACCTCTCTGGGAAGAGAGATGGCTGGTGCAAAATGCATAATGTTTCTCTTCTTCATAGTACACGTTAAAACCGAGTATGTCTTTTATTTCTTCAAATGATGGCATGCTTCCGGGTGAAGGCAAACGACCACTCCTGATAGCTGCCAATGCACCCTGAAAGTATCTAGAAAAATCAAATGGCAGCCTTGTGTAGAAGTCATTCTGGTTTGCAAATTTTCACAATTTTTTTGAGGAGGCGGATTTTCACAAGTTAGTGGGAAAAACTCGCTGGAGGTTATCTTTTCTTCTTAAAAGCGACTTTAGCAAAAGAAATCAGTTGCTTAAGAAGGTGACAAACATCCAATTTCATTTGTTACTTCTTATAAGTTATAACAAATGCTGTAGTATAAGAGCAGTCTTGTGTGGGTGGGTGGGTGGATTGGGATGTTACCGATCACAATATCACTAAGCATAGGAAACTACACTAAAAGTTCTATTGAACACCAAAACCAACCTTTCATATATATATATATAATCAGAGATTAAAGGTAAGTAGACTGCATAAATAGTGAAGAATCTTATTCTCAGACGGAGGGAGTACTAGTTTGGAGGCCTGATTGAGGTTCTATTTTGGTAAGAGAGAACTAAAATATTTTATATTAAACGAATGTCCTATTTAGGATACCAAAATATTCTAATAATAGTGCAACAAAAATGAAAATGCATTGTGTTCAAGTAAAGTTGAGGAGGTAAAGCAAGCCTAATGATTCGACCAAGCATGAGGTAAGGTTTGTTGGTAATAATGATATTGCAGTTTTAGCTCCAATTGACATCAACAACAACAACATTCAAGCCTTAATCCAAAAAGATTTTGGGGTCGGCTAACATGAATCGATCCATGATATCAGTGCTAAAAAGAGAAGAAAGATAAGGGGGAAAAAAATAAAATCAAACGGATAAGATAAAGATAAATATAAGATCATCATCATCATTTACCTACGGTGGGGTAAGGGGGGTCGGATGTACGCAATCTTACCCATGTACTAAAGCACAGAGAGACCGTTTCTGGATGACCCATAGTGAAAATCGCATCCAAAATGGCATGGACTAACTGCTGCTTCATAACAAAGAAGCGCAGACAATTTAGTGAGTCATTTTGCTTTATTCCATCATATTCTCAAGCCAAAAATTAGTGAATCTTTGGCTCCATTGCAAATGATGGAAAGTATAAAAAAGATAAAAGATAAAATAATAAAAGAGCATAAAAAAGATAGAAAATAAAAATAACATAAGAACATAAAAAAATAATGAAGATAAACGATAAAACAAAAAGAGAGAGGAAACATAGAAAAAATATCACTCTTCCACACGAATGTGCACCCTTCACTTTGCTCTCTCCAAAGCCATACTCTCATCCAACCCAAGAAGACGCATATCAATTCTCAAACACAAGAAATTTGGGAAACATTTAACCAAACAGAACCTTACTCACTGCTCAAATCTGCTCATAGATAACCCATATTGACTGGATGATTGCGAAGTGCTGATGAAGTAAGAAGTAAAATTTATGCAGTTGCAGTTGAACACAAAATGGAGTTGAGAGGTAAAATGAAATCACAGGAACCGAAAAGTGACAAGTACAAAATGCAAAACTGGTCATAATTTCTTCTTGAGGAAATCATAAGATGTTACCTGCATAGCACCAATGGACACCGCTAATAAGGAAAGAGGATATGCTACTATTTTGAAACCAATATCCTCAAGTTCAACCGGAGTGAGTATTGGTGTTTTTCCTCCACCTTCAAGCATGTTAGCCTAGATAGCACATCAAAGATTTGTTAACGAAGTTTATAAAAAGGAGCCCAATGTTCATGGCAATTTATGATACTGCAAGATTCCAGCTACATACGCTGATATGCCTATGGCAATCTGTTCCTTTTGCCTGAATAATAAAACCTAAACTGAACCTTTTAAGATTTCATCTGGTTTGAATATTTTTAGTCTGGTCTTACCTAAATGTTTGTGATTTTTTTAATGTTCGTGTTCAAAATATAGCATCTAGTCTGGGCTGTCTGGCTTCAATGTTTCTGGTCTGGCTGATAACAACAACAACATCCAGGCCTTCTTCCCAAAAGAGTTTTGGGGCTGGCTAACATGAATCGACGTATGATATCGGAGTAAAAACAATAAATAGAGGAAAAGGGACAAACAAAATCAGATCAATCCTCCACATGTTTTGGTTTAGCTGGATAAGGTGAACAGCAAAACATCAAACACACAATAATGTTTTTAGGGAAAACTGTCAAATAAGCCCCCGTACTATACCGAAAAAGTCGATTAGGCCCTCGTACTTTACAAACACTCAATTAAGTCCTCGAACTATTAAAAAACGTTCAATTAAGCCCTTTCAGTTGGTAAGTAACCGGTTTCCCGGTTAAATGTAACCCGTTTCCCCGGCAGCCGCCGTTGTTGGGGTTCGAGCACATCGTCGCCGTCGCTGCCGTTTAACCGGGAAACCAGTTACTTACCGACCGAAAGGGCTTAATTGAACGTTTTTTAATAGTTCGAGGACTTAATTGAGTGTTTGTAAAGTATGAGGGCCTAATCGACTTTTTCGGCATAGTACGAGGGCTTATTTGATAGTTTTCCCATGTTTTTATTATGCTATAGTGCTTATAATGTGACAGTAGCAGCAATAAGATTGAACTACGATGTGATCTGAGAAAGATAGCTTTGTCTTGCAAACTATATTTCCAAAAGCCGAAAATGAATGTCCATACTCAAAGTTAAGATTGCTGTTTCTTTGAGGATATAACTGACTAAAAGTCTCAATGCATGGGAACTCATTTGAGAGGTCACAATTATTGAAAAAGAGAACAATATAGAACTAAGAGGGCAAAGGGGGGCATAAAACGAAATCAAACCAAACAAAGTCAATAAATCCCATCTGGAAGTAGGGTCTGAAGAGATGGGCATGCAGACCTAACTGCTAACCCATGAGGCGCTGGGGCAGTGGAAAGCAAGCAAACAAGCAAGGTGCACAAGATAAACTATAAACATGTAAGCAAACAATTACGCAACCATACAAAAGTAGCACGTAAATAAACATGAAAAAATGGAAAAGAGTTGCCTAGACTCTGACAGCAAACACCTCCAAAACCTACAAGGATTTGCTACCTTAATCCGGCTCTCCACAAACCTTGGTCATAGCCCATGTCGCAATAAGGTTTAGAACTGCCAAGGCACCAACTCCAGCCTCAAGTGGTCATCTGATGTTGTCCATGATTTGTCTCTCCTCCTCACACTCAATCAAAACATTCTCCATCCTCCTCACAGGTGTCGTCACAGCTCTGTGGTAGACATGGCCCAACCACTACAGTGTTCTCTGTCTCACGTTTTCGGTAATAGATGTGAATTCAAGCTCAATACAGAAGACTACATTTTATATTCTAACCAACATGAGATTACCACATGACCACCACAACATCATACCTTCACCACTTCCTACTTTAAGACTCATGTGCCTTCTTTATTGTCCAACAGTCAGAGCCATACATTAAGGCTAATTGGATGGCTACCTTGTAGAATTTTCCTATCAGCCGTAACCAGGCTTTCTAGTCGGTAGTCGCACAATACTCCTGCGACAACCTTACACTTTGAACGCCTGTCTTAATACAGCGTGCAAAGTCATCCTCGATCTCTTCTTCCTTCTGAAGCGTGCTGGGGCAGTGGAAAGCAAGCAAACAAGCAAGGTGCACAAGATAAACTATAAACATGTAAGCAAACAATTACGCAACCATACAAAAGTAGCACGTAAATAAACATGAAAAAATGGAAAAGAGTTGCCTAGACTCTGACAGCGAACACCTCCAAAACCTACAAGGATTTGCTACCTTAATCCGGCTCTCCACAAACCTTGATCATAGCCCATGTCCCAATAAGGTTTAGAACTGCCAAGGCACCAACTCCAGCCTCAAGTGGTCATCTGAAGTTGTCCATGATTTGTCTCTCCTCTTCACACTCAACCAAAACATTCTCCATCCTCCTCACAGGTGTCGTCACAGCTCTGTGGTAGACATGGCCCAACCGCTACAGTGTTCTCTGTCTCACGTTTTCGGTAATAGATGTGAATTCAAGCTCAATACAGAAGACTACATTTTATATTCTAACCAACATGAGATTACCACATGACCACCACAACATCATACCTTCACCACTTCCAACTTTAAGACTCATGTGCCTTCTTTATTGTCCAACAGTCAGAGCCATACATTAAGGCTAATTGGATGGCTACCTTGTAGAATTTTCCTATCAGCCGTAACCAGGCTTTCTAGTCGGTAGTCGCACAATACTCCTGCGACAACCTTACACTTTGAACGCCTGTCTTAATACAGCGTGCAAAGTCGTCCTCGATCTCTTCTTCCTTCTGAGCGATGGAACAGGCTAATTGGATGTATGCCTTGTAGAGTTTCCCTATCAGTTGTAACCAGGCTTTCCAGTCGGTAGTCACACAATACTCCTGCGAGTCTGCGACAACCTTACAGTGTGTGATGTCATCCTCAATCTCTTCTTCCTTCCGAACGATGGAACCACATTAAACAGTCCCCTTACCTTAATACTATGACAAAGGGTAATATTTTGTGCAAAAGCTAAAAAACAAACACACCCAGTTAAATCTCAGCACAGAAAGGAAAGGCAACGTTTTTGCGGAGGTAATCTAGTCATACAAATAGCAAATGATTCTTTTACATCATTACTCTCTCCCTGAAAATTCACTTCCATAAAGTTAAATCTTCACAAAAACTTTTCATATATACATCAAATGATGAAGAGATGGATAACATAAAAAATAGGAGTGACATGAATAACATCTGTTTCAATAAAATCATTTAGTAAAAAGGACTTTATACAGCATAACCATATGTTTACAATCAAAGTAGTAAGGACTCATCTGATATGACTGTTTACAATCCTTAACAGAGCATACATGGAAGTGTTTTTTCCTAGATTGAAATCCTAAAGTTTTTACTTTGTCAAAGCCTTATGATTAAGATCGGAGTCATATGATATTATTGATGAAGTTAAAACCTTATTTGTACTACTCAATACCTTTGCGAGCATGTAAATAGAGTCATAACCTACATCAGTGATTGTCAATATTTCATTATAAATATTCTCTAAAATAGAATAGCAATACTAGCATAGAACTGTTAATAGGAAACTTAAACTAATGCGAGGCATGAGAAGAGAAGAGCATACCATCTTTGGAACCAATGGGGAAACTTCACAGAAAGATCTCATCTCTTCTTTAGATGCAAGGGCATCAATGAACAGAACGTCAGCCCCAGCATCAGCAAAAGCACGTGATCTCCAAAGTGATTCTTCGAAGGAAATTGCTTGGCGTGAATCACTACGTGCTACAATCACAATGTCAGCTCCACACTCTGTCCTGGCATCAACGGCAGCTTGGATCCTCATGACTGCTTCCTCTCTGGACACAACTTTCACGCCGCGTGTATGACCACAAGCTTTAGGAGAGACCTAACAAAACAACAATGCAAGAATTAGGTCTTCAAAATGAAATAATAAATGCTATGACAATCTCTTGATGTGTGATATTCTCTCTATATCATTATGGATTTATGATGCACGTTTCTTTGGCTGGACAGACACTAGCATTTCTCCAATTAGTTGTAAAATATATCAATGGGTACAGAATTTATCTTGCAAAAGAGGATAGGATGTAAATTTTATGTAAAAGAAGCTACTACGCAAAACAAATACCACCTCCTTCTATAAAAGACCATGTTTCAACAACAAAAAATGCTCCAAAAAGAATAAAAAAGAGAGTCCTATTCCGTAAAAAGAAGGTGATTTAAATGTAGTTTGCCAAACAATGTCAAGACATTACAAAAAAGTTCAATAAGGACAAATTTACTTTGAAAATATAAGTTTAATTCCATGACTTTTAAGATATGCATCTTACCAGAAATAAAAAGTTGTACCTTAACCAGACAAAGATAGTCCTTATTTGAGAAACTTTAAAAGAAATTACATTGCATCTAAAATCACATCCGATCCAGTTACACAAAAACCCTTATTTTGTTAAAGACTTAAGGTTTCCAAAGAGAATTCCATTTTTTGTGGCTTAATATCCAAGTGGCAAACTGACACTACTTGAAATCATTTTTTATGAATATCGCTATAGCTAGGCCAACTCCGCCATGAGATCAATATTTTTTGGTTTCATGCCTGTCCCAAGCCAGGATAAAGGAGGAGGGTGTTGTGGTAGGCACGTGACGGCCAAGAGTATCACCTAGTCACATCACATGACATGAATCGAAATATGAATATCGCTACAGCTAGGTTGTCTCCCGTAAGCAACGCGTCATCCCTCCGCCTGGGGGTGGTGTCAAATATGCAAGGGCGCGCTACACTTCATAGGCCTGGGTGTGGTGATAAGAATGCTAAGGTTGCTAGGTCGTCGCCCGGAAGCGGCGCGTCATCCCATTGCCCGAGGATGATGTCAAATATGCAAGGGCATGGTGGGGTCCGAGGCGGGGCTAAGAACAGAAGGTGGAGTGCTAGATTGCGCTTTGGGACGTGGAATGTTGGGTCTCTTACAGGCAGATCTTCTGAGGTAGTCGAAGTTATGAGGAGGAGGAGGAATATCGGCATTATATGTGTGCAAGAAACTAAATGGGTTGGAGAGAAAGCACGTGAGATTAATCCCAAAGGTTTTAAGTTGTGGTATTCGGGGAGAGATAAGACCAGGAATGGGGTAGGCATTATTGTGGCGCGTGACTATGTTGAGGATGTGGTAGAAGTCTTCAGGAAGAACGATCGCATCATGAGCATTAAATTGGTGATAAGGGGTGAGATTGTGTGTGGTAAGTGCCTATGCACCACAAGTGGGATTGGATGCATCTACAACTCAACAGTTCTGGGAAGATCTTGAAGATGTGGTGCGACGAGTGCCAAGGGGAGAGAAGTTGGTCATAGGAGGTGACCTCAACAGGCATGTGGGCTCGAGTCATGATGGCTGTGAGAGTATTCATGGCAGACATGGTTTTGGCACTAGAAATGAAGCGGGAAAGAACATTTTGGATTTTGCCTCGACGTATGAGTTGGCCATAATGAACACTTGGTTTAGGAAAAGAGACTCTCACCTTGTAACCTATAGAAATGGAGCTAATAGTACCCAAATTGACTACTTCTTAGTACGGACTACTTAGAGAACTAGCTACACCGATTGTAAGGTTATCCCAAGTGAGATTGTTGTCACTCAGCATAGGATGCTTGTGCTTGACTTTCGAGGTAAGAACCATAGAAGACAAGTTAAGCAACAAGTGGAGCCAAAGATAAAGTGGTGGAGGCTTGAGGGGGATCTTCAACAAAGCTTTACACATAAAATGTTCGGTGAAGATGTATGGTGTTTTGATAATGGAAGACATGTGGAGGATGCGTGGTTATCGATGGAGCTGGCCATTAACAAAGTGGCAAAGGAGGTACTTGGAGAATCTAAAGGATGTCAGCCACCCAAAAAGGACACGTCTTGGTGGAATGATGAGGTGAAACAAGCCATAAGGAACAAAAGAGATTGTTACAAAAAGCTGGGGACAAGTCGTAGTGATGAGAACATAGAAGCATACAAGGAGGCTAGAAGACAAGCAAAGAAAGCCGTAAAGGAAGCACAAGGGAAAGTGAACAAGAAGCTGTATGAAAAATTGGACTCTAAGGATGGAGAACAAGATATCTATAGACTTGCTCGTCTTCGTGATCACAGGACTCAAGATATCGGAAAAGTTAAGTGTGTGAAGGATGTCGATCAAAGGATATTAATGGAGGACAGAGAGATAAAAGAGATGTGGAGGTCATACTTTGATACATTGTTCAACGGGAACAAAGTGCAAGATATCGGTGATTTGACCATACCAGATTGTATGGTAAATCGTGATTTTGTGAGAAGGATCCAACCAACGGAAGTTAAAGAGGCGCTGAGGAAGATGGGGCGGAAGAAAGTAGTGGGTCCTGATGGCATACCGATCGAGGCTTGGAGAAGTTTGGGAGAGAGAGGCATCGCGTGGTTAACAAATTTCTTCAACAAGATTTGGAGAAACAACAAGATGCCAACGAGTTGGAGAAAGAGTACTCTTATTCCCTTATTTAAGAATAAAGGTGATGTACAAGAATGTGCCAACTATCGAGGGATTAAGCTTATGAGTCATACCATGAAACTTTGGGAGCGAGTGATTGAGCAAAGACTTCGAAGAACGGTGAAGATTTCAGAGAATCAATTCGGTTTTATGCCTGGTCGCTCAACTTATGAAGAAGTATAGAGACGCTCACAAGGATTTGCATTTAGTATTCATTGACTTAGAAAAGGCATATGATAGGGTACCTCGAGAAGTTCTTTGGTGGGCCTTAACTAGATAGGCATTTCACGCAAGTATATCAGCATCATCATGGATATGTATGAGGATTGTACTACAAGTGTCCGTACTAGTGTAGGCAGAACTGCGGAGTTCCCTATTACTATCGGAGTGCACCAAGGATCGGCTCTGAGCCCTTTTTTATTTGCCATAGTCATGGATGAACTTTCAAAGTCAATTCAAGACGATATACCGTGGTGCATGATGTTTGCCGACGATATTGTATTGATTGATGAGACGCAATCAGGGGTTAAAGCAAAGTTGGAAGTATGGCGACAAACATTGGAGAACAAGGGTTTCAGACTAAGTAGGAGCAAGACAGAGTACATGGAGTGCAAGTTTGGTGGAGGTAGAAGCAGTGGTAATAGCGGAATTACTTTAGATGGTAAGGAGATACCGGTTAGCGATATGTTCCGTTACTTGGACTCCATAATTCAGAAGGACAGTGAGTTAGATGGAGATGTATCCCATAGAATCAGAACAGGGTGGATGAAGTGGAAGAGTGCGTCAGGATTTCTATGCGATCGAGGTATGCCGACTAGACTGAAGGGTAAATTTTATAGGACAGCAATTAGGCCTGCATTACTGTATGGCACGGAGTGTTGAGCGGTAAAACAATGTCACATTCAAAAGATGAGTGTGGCAGAGATGCGCATGCTGCGTTGGATGTGTGGGCATACTAGAAAGGACCGCGTGAGGAATGAGACAATCAGACAAAGGGTGGGAGTATCACCTATTGAAGATAAGATGCGGGAGTCGCGCCTACGGTGGTTTGGTCATGTGCATAGAAGACCGAGTGATGCATCTGTCAGACGCGTTGAGATGTGTGGAGAAGAGGCAGGGAAGAGAGGGAGAGGAAGGCCCAAACAGACATGGGTTAGGGGAGTCAGAAGGGATATGCTTCTTCTTGGATTGGATGAGGGTATGGCTTTGGAGAGAACAAAATGAAGGGCGGGTATTCGTGTGGAGGAGTGATCTTGTATAATCTTTTCCCCTCTTTTTCTTTCTTTTTTATTTTTTTTTTTATTTTTTTTGTATATTTTTATCCTTATATAAATATTACTTTATTCTTTCTATTTTATCTTTTATATGTATATTCATCTCTTTTATATTATCTTTTTTTATAATAGCTTATCTTTTTTATCTTTATTTTCTTTCTTTTCCTTTTGGTGATATCATGTATCGATTCATGTATCAATATCGTTTGGGACTAAGACTTGGATGTTGTTGTTTTTGTATCGCTATAGCTAAGCCGTTGCCCGTAAGTAACGTGTCATCCCTCCGCATGGGGGTAGCGTCAAATATGAAAGGGTGTGCTATATTTCGTAGGCCTGAGTGTAGTGATAAGAATGCTAAGACTGCTAGATCGTTGCTAGAAAGCAGCACCAGTCCAATGTCTGAGGATGGTGTCAAATATGCAAGGGCATGGTAGGGGTCGATGTGGTGTGAAGAATAGAATGTGGGGTGCTAGATTGTTCTTTGCGAGGATGAATATTTGCATTATGCGTGTGCAAGAAACTAAGTGGGTTGGAGAAAACGCACGCGAGATTAACCTCAGAGATTTTAAATTGTGGTATTCAAGGAGAGAGAAGACCAGAAATGGAGTAGGCATTATTGTGGCACATGATTATGTTGAGAGTGTGGTGGAAGTCTTTAGGAAGAATGACCGCATCATGAGCATTAAATGGAGATGAGATCATATATGTGGTAAGCGCCTATGCACAACAAGTGGGGTTGGGTGTAGCTATCACTCAACAAATTTGAAACGATCTTGAGAAAATGGTGCAATGAGTGCCAAGAGGAGAGAAATTGGTCACAGGAGGCAACCTCAACGAGCATGTGAGCCAAAGTCGCGATGGTTTTGAGAGTAATCATGGTGGACATGGTTTTGGCACTAGAAATGAAGCGGGAAAGAACATTCTAAATTCTGTCTCGACATATGAGTTGGCTATAATGAACATTTCGTTTAAGAAAAAAGACTCTCACCTTGTGACCTATAGAAGTGGAGCTAATTCTATAATAGTACCCAAATTGACTACTTAGTACAGACGACTTGGAGAACTAACTACACCGGTTGTAAAGTTATCCCATGTGAGAGTGTTGTCCATT